CCAAATGTGATTCCGGCTGCTGATTACGGCGGCATATGGTGCCTACCTGTTAAACACAAAGCGCTCAATGCCATCTCAACGCCTCAGTGAGCCCCCCTCGAATAAACTAACAAGCCCAATATCATACTCGTCATTGTGTAGTCCAACACTCCAAATTGCAATCAGATAAGAAAGCTGCTTTCATTATCATTGCGGAGGGAAACACGAGAGGGGGAGAGGGTGTGTGTGTGGGGGGGGGGGGGGCAGCCAAGGTTGCTAATTGTTATTCAATTAAGCGATTGTGTTAATGAAACCAATTAATAGTTTAAAACAAGCAGGCAAATATATGATTACTATGCGTCTGAGCAGAAGACGGCTAATTACAACTGTAAATCAATCAATCCGACATTAATCGGCTTGGAAAAGATCCAAAAACAACAAAGTCACCAAAAGACTTTGGAAGTTGTTTTATTTTTTATTTTTTTTGTCCAACAGATTTTGATTGCCACGCCATTATCCCGTCTAATGGCTGCTAACGATCCCTAAAAGAGTTTATGATCCAATTTCCTCACCGTGAATTTAATTGGGAGCTAAATAGTTTAATATTAAACGTTTAGAAGTGTGTCCCGTATTTAATCAAGGGTGGTATATCGGCGGCGCGCGCTGGTAACAAGGTCACACAACTCCTCGGAGGGCAAACACGAGGCGCCCAGATTAAGCAATAAGGGTTACAGAAATGTGAATAAATCAATTATTGAAGTCCCCTCGCAGTCAGGCGTACGTTTCCCCTCTTTGCTTCTTGTTCGTGCAGTCTTTTAGTCTCATGCGTGGAGTGGCATTTAGAGGTGGCTGTGAACAAAAGTCTCTTTACAATTAAATATTACAAAAGCAACTGACGAGATAGGTCAACCGGATTTGTTCCGTCTACTCAGGGGTTGTCCTTTTTTTTTTCTTTTATTACATCACATTGGTGTACATGTACAGTATTTCAGGTACGCTCTTCATCATACAGGTGGGAGGTCTCAAGTCCTAACCCTCAAATTTCAAGCAAATCTTCATTACTGAGGAGAAAAAAAAAACTGGTAAGTCAAAGTCAAGTCCCAATGTTCTTTTACTTGTCTTCTCAAATAAACGCAAAAGCGACATGAAGCTTAAAGTACAAGCAGCTCTCGGTGAGCTGGACTGTGGAGTCGACGTCTTTGTGACGGATTAAATTAGATGTCGTAGTTGTGGTGTCTCTTAGCCTTGCATTATGTCATTTTGCTTTGCTAATATATCCACACACAAAAAAAAAAAATCATTGAAACCAGCTGCGCATGACAAATCCAGAGTACTGCGTGTTCTCCTTAAGAATAAAATATTAACAGTGGAACATCAAAGGTCAAACAAAATTCATTCTGGGACATTCTGAGTTTTCCGATAGGAAAGAGAAGATATCAAACTAATCAATTACCTTCCCTCCAAAATGTGATAATTTTGGAGTTTAATAACATTTCTCACTCAAAAGTTTAAAAAATGATCTCTTATGGATGGCTAACAAGCTAGCATAGCTTCGGTAATGCTCGTTATCAAACTTTCAGGACAGGCAAAAAAATGTCCTCTGGTCCATTTTTTCAAGCGTGTATTTTTGTTCAGGGCCAAAACTTGAACTGTGAAAAATCTGGCAATTTTTGTTGTTGTGGTTGTTATATTTAAAATCAAACAACAAACTAGCGCCTCACTTTTTCGGTTTCCTGAATGCAAGTTGAAAATAGAAGTTAAAAATCGGACGCATTTTTTTGTGTTGGATTATAAAAAAGATGAATTAGTTACTTTTTTTGGGGGCGGGGGGATTGATTGAAAATTGATCAATAAAAAATGCAACATACAAACGATCCACGGGTAACACCGAATTCTCACATTCGCAACACCGCGAGAGTGCAGCCATTTAACAACACAAGCATACGAATGCTCATGCGAAAAGGAAAAGGAAGTCTTCCTCTTTAATTGATCATCTAATGAGCACCAAAAACTGGACTTCCATCTCATCAAAACAACATCGTACAAAGGCTACGTTATTATTGTTCATATGATATTCGAAATTGATCAGCCCACTGCTTTCTTCTTTATTTCTCACTCAGAAGTTGAGCATAAACAGCAGTTGTTTTCCCACCTCGACGCACTGTCCATAATTTGGCTTTTCGCATACAAGGAGCCACTAATCAGTCTAATTATTTCTTGTACCTTCCATTTCCCGCACCAGGACCATTACGGCACCACGAGGGTCCTGCGCTTTTTTATGAGAATGCCCTCGTTTATTCAGAAAAAAAAAAAAATTATAACGTAAGGGCCACGGGTAATTATCAGACATACAAACATAAACACCTTTAGAAGTTTTGGTTGCCAGCGCCCGCTTGAAGTTGGCGCAGTCATGTGACCTGACCACTGCCCTAGTTGAGCAGCCCCCCTTTAGATGTTTATGCATATATGGCCGCTAATCTACCCAGTCAGGACTGTGGGATTTGGGAATATTTTTGTTTTACGCCAGATCAAAGTGTCTGGCGGGGATCAGGAGGAACACATCAAACACGGAAGACTCCCACGCCCACACTCGCCAATCAAGCAACTGTTTTGCTTTGTGGAAAGAAAAAGAAAAGGATTCACACTGTGGGGCCTTTCTCCATCTGCACCCCCCCATCCCCCACCCACCCTGTGTCGAGGCCGAGCCGTGTTGCGAACTTTGGATGATCGCATCTTCATGCCTCACTCAAACTCCGTGGTGGGAAGAAACTAAGTACAAAGTGTTGGACGTAAGTAGATTTTGCAGGTCCTGTGGAACCTTGATTGACGTGTGTCCCGAGTTTCCAGTTTTCAAGTTATGTGCTCCTCACTTTGGTTGATTTTGTTTTTTTTTTGCTTCGTGCTGTGACTCAACAATGGAGCACAAGCAGTCAAACACACAAATACAAAATGAGAGCTGTCACAATAAGCCAAAACTCCAAGTCCAAGGGAACATATTCCTGAAGTCACTCACTAGGCCACGCCCCTCGCAAGCACACTTGCATTTGACTCGTTTTGTCCAGTGTACGGTAATGACTTTTTTTGTTGTTTTTCCTTGCTTGTCCTCCTCGAGCTCCATCCTCATCGTCCTTCTGCCAATAGGTTCACTTTCTGTCTATCCTCTCTCTAACTTGGTCTCCAAAACATCTCGCCTTGGCCGTGATGAGCTCATTGTCAAAGCTAAAGAACAATTCAAGATCTTCCTTTTCGTTCTTCGCCTTTCCAGCGCATGCCTCTGCCTTTCTAAATGTTCCTCGCTTTCATTTATTATTGTAAATAATTGAATAATTTACTATACTTTAGTACATTTCAGGTTGTACTTCTTTACTTGAACTTAAAAGTACTGAATCAGTTCTTTTTAAGTATCGATACTTCAACTTGAGTGTGAAGACTTCAACCCCCTCTGCTTCATACGAGTCCGACATGATTCGTCTTTCTGTGGAACACGGAGAAAAGTGTGTTAGCGGATCAAAAAAAAAAAAAAAGGAGCACAAGGGTTTGAACTGCCGGCCTGTCAGTCAAAGCCGAAAATGCTTACGCCGACACCCATGCGCTCACACGCTGACTTCCTCTGAGGGCTGTTATTGTCAGAAGGCTTAAGGGTGGGAAGAGTACAGGGGGGTTGGGGGGGACCCCTTATTTGTAGACATCTTAAAGCAGCAGTAGCGAATAAAGTTGCCCGCATGGAAGTGGACCCCCACCTACACAATGAGGCCCTAATACAAGCCCTCGCAGATGAGAGCTTTGCTTCAAGCCTGCACGTTGGCCTGTGGAGGAAAGTTGTGTGCTTTCAGCATTTTTTTTTCCCCCTGAAAGATGAAGAGAGCTGTTTTGCAGACAGTGGAGAAAAGAAAACAATGCACGGTGCGCTTGCATACAATTTGTAAGGTTGATCCCCCTTCAACATAGATCTGGATTATCGGTTTGTGGTATGTGCAATATGGATGGCATTTCAAATAGGACATGCAACATGGCCATAAAAAATATATATACATTTTATGTGAAAGGTTTTCTTCTTTTCCACTTGTAGATCAGTGGCGTTTGTATGGGGAATGTGTAGCCCCGGAAGACATGCAGAACGTGAACATGAACATCGAAGGGGGGAAATGCTCAAATTCAGCCAGATGGGCAGTATGTGTAACTGATACTTTACGGTTACAGCTCTTGTATTGATTCTCCCCGGCGTGCACCAGTGGGGAGGCTGCATCAGCCTCAGAGAGAGAGAGAGGAACTGTCATAAAAATTCATTAAAATGCTCATAATACATATAAGGATGCTTCTTTTTCATACGGTTTAGTATGTCCCCTCTGAGTACTTCATAAAAGTTCAAATGGCCCCTCTGAGATTAAATGGGGTTTACTGTACACAATGAAGTGACCCTGAAGTGAGAATATTTTCTGCTGCGTTTTGAAATTCCCTGTTGGATGACCACTCCGCATTTCTGAAAAGTTTTGCGACAAAAACAACGTCCAATTCATGTTCGGCTGGGTTTTCTGAGGGGCGGTGCACTGAAAACAGACGTCTGTCAAATTGTCATTTTGTTGTCCAAATTGTCAGTTGCTAGAATAACATCATGACAACAGGAGCTGTTTTCACGTGGCGTATGGGATAGAGACAGCACCAAGCTCGTTCCACTGTAGTCTAAATTTTTTTACTCAAGGCTTTCCATTTTACCCGGGTTTGTTTTATAACAAAAAAAGGCATCTAGCTATTGATGTTGAGGCATGAAAACAAAAACTCTGCAGTTTTCATCTTGCGTGATACAGAAAATATGACTTGGAAATAGAGGTCCTGACATTTATATCACTCTTTCCGTACAGTCGTACTTCTTGAAAGCTGAAGTCAATACTGTAGATAGGAAGAAGGGTGTCACGGCCCCACCTAGTGGCCTTTAACTGTATTGTTTTGATTTCGACATTCATACACAATGTGGATGTTTACAAATATATAAACTTTTTAAATGACACTTGGGAGAACCTTGTAAATTAAACACCATTAAAAATAGATTTATTATAGATGACAAGTGTTCACTTACAACTCACAACTAGCTGATGCTGAGTGCTATTTTTTCGGGATTCAAATTGACTGTCATCTGCACCCAAGGGAAGGAGAGGACACGAGGGACGAGAGTGCGGCCATAATGGTTGGAGCTTCCATGGTGCAGGGACGAGCGACGGCTGCAGTCTAACTTAGGAGAGCAAAGGGAACGTTTCATCTTTAGTTCGTGCAGTTTTCGGGAGCCTGTAACACAAAATAAAGACAATGTCGGTTCACCAGAGTGAGACTTTTTTCAGTTCCCATTCAATCACACATAAGTGTGAAGATATGGACAGAACAGTGCTCGATTCGTGATCAAGCCCGTGTACCTTGAGGGTCTCGGAGGCTTTCCTCAGCTCCTTGATAACCGAAGACAGAGCTTCTGGGTTGATGCCCTGCTCACACAATCTCACACAGATGGACAGAGACTCCATGTCCAGACCTGTGTTGAGCAGCCTTGAGATCTCCAGTAACACTGGTGGAAAGATACACGAATAACAGACGTGATAACCGAGGCAAAAGCAAGCCACTAGACAACGTGTTAGTGAAATGTCTCTTTTACCGTCCATAGTCTCTCGGACTGCATTCAGGTTAGCACTGGATGCACTTGCCATGGTCCTGAATGGACAGTTAGCCAACTTGCTAGCTGGAAGCTATCGAAGCACTATAAGGACCCCGTGGGAGGATATAAACAATTTAACCGAGCGAATATAAAGGATTTGAACATTTTCCGATCATTTTATGAAGGTTACAAACAAACGTCTCTCTTAAAAATTAGATCACCAAGCAATAAACTCGCATCAGAAATTGAGTCTGACGGAGTGAACGTTGAGAAGTCGGAAGCGGTTGTGACGTCAAATAGTCCTGATTGGTTGTTACGAACTTCCTAGAACGTTTCTATTGGCTGCCGGGTTGCGAGGACGAAATTGAAATAGCGTCCAAAAACGCCTCGAGAGTATTAAAGACACTTCCTCCATTCAGTAGTGATTGCGGCATTAAAGTGTTTGATTCTTCGATGATGTAAGTATCACAAAAAAATGTACATATCTAATCGACCATTTGGTTTTATCTCAAATGAACATCGCGTTAAACGAAAGGTAACTTTCGAACGAAATAAGGAAACCAAGGTAAGGTCGAAAAAGATGTCTTCTAGCAAATTTCCACATTTATTGATCCAGGTCTGATATTTGACGTGATGAAAATATCACGGCACACCACCAAACAAAAATGTCATTTGAAAAAAAAATGTAAAATTGACGTAATGCTGGAGTGGTGTGCTTTTGCAAGGGCATTGCGTTGTCCACCCTTTTACTTACTTTACTGGCTTCGATAGATGACTAAAGATACAATATTTGTCATGAATTAATATTGTTTCGGACCATCAAAGTGAGATTACAGTATTAACCTCGAGAAACAATTAGTTTTGGTTGTGTTTATTATCAAAGATGGGGGACCAGCCGGAGCCACACGTCACTCCAGAAACACCAGGGAGACCCTCAATTAGGAATCCTTTTGAAAGTCCCAATGACTACCGCCACCTCCGCGAGCCCCTGGTTCCCAGTCCGTCTGTTTTCAAGTTATCCCAAGCTGTGAGTCGCGTCTATTCATCCTGTCCGCATTTACTGTTCTGTCTCGTTGTCTATGCTGTGTCTGAAATTGTCACTTTTGCACAGGCTCCCTCCGGGTTCAATTGGTCAATCGATGATATGGCCAGTCTGCTTCCAGTGCACATCGATCCAGAGGAGATTCAGCGACAGTCATTTTACCTCAGCCAAACAAAGTACTTTAGTGAAGTGCTGCAATCAAAGTGCATGAAATGCCTTCAGAAAGGGTAGAAGTTGGCTTAAAAGTATCTTTTTCTTTTTGGAATTTTAAGGATGGACTCTGACATTGAAGAAAAACGTCAGAATGCTATCGAGCAGGTATGTTACGATGCATGACTTGACAATTGATACATTTTTACATGACTGTCGTCATGCCACATATCATATCAATTTCTTGTTTGTATACCGATCCAGTTTTTTACCAAAGGAGCAATTGTGCCTTCGCCATGGTCTATGTCAGACCCCCGGAGAATACCTCACACGTCAAAGACCGGTATGCTTGCTCTCCCAATTGCTTTCTTGACATTATCTGCATTCAAAAGTTTAGTTTTCTTCATATCATATTGTTGTGCATCCTCAGGGTCTCTATCTCCGATGCTGGAGGAGTCAGAAAAAAAATCAGGTCAGTACTTTTTCATTAAGGTCGGAGCTTGTCTTTTCCCCTCGCCGTTAATTAACTTTTAAGTTTGTATTGCAGTTGCCTCTCAGACGATTCTCTCGTTACCGGTGGCCTTTGATTTGGAGAGACTTCTCGGTAAGCCGATAATAGCTGAAGTCCAGGCGGCGGGTGATTGCGCCGTGATGTCACGGTGTTCATCTCCTAGGGGAATATTACCGCACGGATGAAGCGGCGAGCGATGGCTCTCAGGAGAGCTTGAGCCAGTCCTCCTTGAGGCGTAAACTTTTCCTGGATGGCCAGAGCAGCTGCAGCGGCTCCGACAGCTCCAGTCCACCGAGCCCAGACAGAGGGCATTCTCGGGAAGTGAGGCCGTTGACCCAGGGAGAAGATTTTGTGGGTCAAGCTGCCATGTTTTCATCCCCTGTATCCTGCGGTGTGTCTGCTTCAACGCCCTCTACGGTGAGTAGGGGGAAAAAAACCCACATATAAAAATGGTACCTCGAGTTACAAGCCCGTGCCTGGTCCATTTTATTTTTTTTTTTTTAATTTGTCAAACGTGAGTGTAAAGTTAGATTTTATATTCGAGTGAATTGGCTTGGTGACGGAACAAATGAAACTGGTACATCAAAGAACCAAGTTAAACATTCATTTCCTTTTCGACGCTGCTTGACAGGGACAGTTCTCATCCAGTCCCATCCAGACTGGCTGCTTCCGGGACTGCAGCAGCGCCAGCCCGCTCTTCCCTGATAGGTCATCCCCTGCGGACGCGGCCTCGCCCATCGTTTCACCCATCGTCGCACATACCCAGCGCACACCCACAGGCCCAGGTACGAGAGTGGACCAAGAACTGTCCCTTCATTTTCTATTGCGCTTTTGGGAGAGGAAACTTAAGCGACACGACGGCTATAAATAGTGAATGGAAATATTTTACAACTAATAGAAAGAGAAAGAGAATCAAATTTGGCCCTGAAGCACAAAAGCTCTCCCACCCTGCTCCAAAACTCATGTGTAATGTTTTTTTTTTTTTTTTTTTTTCCTTTTTGTGATCCTCTTCAGCCGAGTGGAAGCGACCTTGCAGTTTAACTCCCCACAGCATCCCCCTGGACGTGGACGTCCCCTCCTTCGCCATGAGTCCGGACGTAGAGGGCTGCTCTCCCATCCGGAGCTGTTCTCCGCACAAGCGCCATCCCCGAGCGAATCCCAGGCCTCGATTCCGTTGCTGCACCACCCCGCCCCTAATCGCCCCCGTCCTCAATCCCAAACTACCAGACGCCCAGGAGGCCGAGGACCCACCGGCCGGACTCGCGATGGATTCTGATTTATCCTCCCCTCTGGCTCGGGGCAATAGTGCTCCCGATGTGGAGAGCTTGGGATTCAGTGACATTGTAAAGATGGAGAACGAGCAGGAGTTCAGGATGGAGGGGAAACTGGAAGAAGAGGATGAGGAGGGGGGGAACGGGGGTCTCTCTGGACGGCTGACCAGCTCTCGGATGGGCAACGTGTCGGCCACGGAATACTCCCAAATGTGTCTCTCTCTTTTGACGGAGCGCAGCAGTATACGCTATGATTCCAGTATGCAGGTTTGTGTTATTTACTCAACTACAGTTTTGTCGTCGAAAATCAATTTCACGTTTTTTTTCTCAAATAAATATTCCTAAAACCTGACATTTGAACGGGGGCGTGAAGACTTTTTCGTCTCTTCAGATAGCATAGGCTCCAGCTCACCGGGGCTTTTGGCTATTAAAAAAATGAAGGAAATGAAAATGTTCTGTCGGTATAACAACGAGACATCTGCGTGCTTGGCCTCGTGTAGGTGGACAGCGGCTACCAAACGACCTCGACGACGGCCGGCAGTCTGATCGACGGCTTCGCCTCAGACTATCACGGCAAAGAGTCCTTCAGCGCCAACCTCACCGAAGAGACCTCCCACCACACCAAAACCTCTAAACTCAAGGTACCGGTATCACCAGAACTGCTCTCACATACTATACTAAACATACTCTGCACGCTACACTAATACACTCGCCAAATCGTTTGGCAAAATCTTTTTTGTGGATTTTTACATTTTGCTACACCTGCAAGTTGGAATTTTGAGTTGAGCACCTTGGGTGTCGTTGTGGCGTAATGTGCCAGCCCTCATTGAGGTTTTCTGGATGAGATGCAGCATAATTAGAACAAGAGGCAGAGAAGGTCCTCAACTACTATAAGCTCAGAGCAGACAGAATACGCGCCTGGGAGTATTGTCGTACGCCGTGTGCTAAAGCGGCAGTTGTTTGAAGGTTCATAATTACTGTAATATTGACATTAATTTTCATTACCGTGTCTGTAGCGTTTCACATGAAGTTGCGTCAACGTTTTGGTGTGTAAATGTTCAAAGTTTCTTTTTTTTATTTGTAAACTTCACCCGGGAGTGACATAGGTTGAAGCAGTCAGGCCTTGCCACTTACTTAGAGAACAAAGTCTTTTAATAGGTTTAAATGTGTTTAAAGCCTGCGGGTTGGGTTGGGGAAAAAAAGCATGTTCTTGAATATGCGCTGATGTATCAGCTTTTTGATTTCTTGCGGGTGGGCCTGTAATTCATTCCCTGCAATCAACTGTCATTGTAGGAAACTGAAATTCTTTTTGTACTTTTCCAGGTGTGGTATCCTCATCACTGAACGGTTTCACGCACGCATCAAAAGGGACAGCCACTTCTTGCAGTTTTTTTGTTTTTTAAACAGTACTTTACTTCTCCACAAATGTTATTGGAGGCATTAAATGAGGTTGTACAGCAAGTTATCACACAGCGGTGCTGGCAAATCTGAGGAAAAGTAGGTGGCTGCAGTTTTATGAGGTGCTGCCATAATCGTGCAGGCAATATCAAATGTGCTGTATTTTTTTAAGGAAACCTATTACAGTGACTTTTACATCTATTTTTTTAACTCTCCAGTAAGGTTCATCAGGTGGCATGCATGAATACTGAACTTAACAGGTGGCATGCATGAATACTGAACTTAACAGAATGACTGACGTGTTTGCGCTTCAATGTATTATTTGTGATGATCAAGGCTGAGTAATACGTCACTTTAACGAATGCCAACATGACAATCTTACTTTGTACGTATGTTGGTGGTTTGCACCTTTCTGTGACGCGGTGTGAGCAATGGACTGAAAATGTACATCCGTTCTTCGTTCACAAATAAGAGAAACTCGAGGCCACGTACACGATGCAGCGGAAATTTTAAATGCCGCCGACTGAAATCCATGATGCCGTTTTTCTGGACATTAAAAAAAAATCCTCAAGCATCATCTGTTCACCAAATCATACATTTAGTCACGTGAATATAAACACACACACACACACACTCTCTCTCGAACATAAGGTTTTTAATTTGAATTACCCTTATGAGTTATTCAGCGTCCTCGTGTCACTTGAAAGGCGCTACATACGGTTCTGCTCTATCGAATGGTATTTACAGTACCGGGTGGGTGTTTTAAAATGACTTACAATAGTGGCATTGGATGTATTCATAATTCATAATTTTCACTCTAAAAAAATAATAAAAATAGTTGCACATGAAGCTCCTTTGAAATGTAAAAAAATAAAATAAAATGTTTGTATGGCAGTTTTATTA